ATGCAGGCGTCACCCCGAGGGCCCTCATCGACGACGTCACCTTGCAGTGGCGCGGGAGGCGGCTCTCGCAACTGGGCGTGCTTTGGGCGGCCACCACCAGGTTCCGAGAGGGCGCCCAAGAGCGAGGCATTGTCGTGCAGCCCACCAAGTCGGGCTACTTGGTCTCATCGGACGCGGCTGCTCGCGAGTGTGCCCGACACGCGGCGGCCCGCAAGCTGACCAAGATGCGCTGGGCCCGCAACCTGGGGCACGATCTGGGCGGGCGCAGAATCGCTAGGCTCCAGACGGCAAAGCGGGTGCGGCAGCTCAAGGAGCGGCGCGGCAAGTTGGCAGCTTTCAGAGGGGCAGTGGGCAGGCGCGCTACCTGCCTGTGGAAGACGGGCCTCATGCCGAGTGCGGCGCACGGTGCTGGGGTGTCAGGGCTCACCGACGATACGCTGCAGGTGCTGAGGGCCGAGGCTGGCAGGCTTGCAGGGGCTCGGCCAGGTGCATCGAGCGTCACGGTGTATTTAGCCACGCAGAAGGCGCGCGAGTACGACCCCATCTACGGCGCCACCTGCGACATCGTTTGCCGATACGCCAGCTGGATCTGGGAACAACGCACCTCCCTGGCTAGGCTCCACAGGGCCTGGGCCAAGGTCACGGAGCGGCTCGTGGGGCGCCCGTCCTGGGCAGGGGCTCGCGGTCCCATCGCCTCCGTCACGCTGACGCTCTGGCGCATCGGATGGCACATGTACTCCAGCACGACCCTGGTCACCGACCAGGATACGGCGATCAACCTCCTCACCATGTGCCCGAAGGACGTCAGGATGCATCTGACCAGCGGCGTGCAACGCTGGCAGGCGAGGCAGATCGCGGCGCACCACCGCCAGCACGGCGAGGTCAAGCCTTGGGTGCGGGCCATGCGGCTCTGCGTGGGCGACGGGCGCGCGGCTTTGGCGGAGGGCCCGTCGGCCACCAGCCTGCGTCACCACTGGGCGACGGTGGCCTGGACGCAACAGGCCCAGCACGACCTTGGGCTGGCGGCGGCGCCGAATTGCAGGGCCTGCGGACATCCGTCCGACTCGCCTGGGCACAGATTTTTCGGCTGCGAAGTACTCGTGCAGCCGCTCACAGAGGAGGAGCAGGACGAGCAGCTGCCGCCCGAGCCGATGCAGGCCATCCGCACCTTCATGTGCGACAAAGGCCTGCAGGAGGGCGGCAGCTTCGAGAGCGCCGACTTCCAAATGTGCTTGCCCTGCATGCCGCCTTTCGTGCCGCCCGCCGCGGGGCAGGCCGAGGTGAAGTTCTGGGGCTGCTGGCCTAGCCAAGGGGCGGACACGGCTTCCTGCAGCAACGCCGTCTTCACCGATGGCTCAGGCTTCGCGTCCAGCATGCCCGAGCTGAGGCGCTGCGGATGGGCCTTCGTGCAGCTTTCCCTCCAGGGACTGCCTGTTCGGGCGGCGTTCGGGGCGCTGCCAGGGCCGCTCCAGACGGTCGGGCGCGCGGAGAGGCACGCGCTGCTGCAGGCATTGCGGCTCGCGGGGCCGCAGCTCGAGTTCGTCTTCACCGACCTTCTGTCGATGGAGAAGGAATGCAGCCACTGGGGGCAGGAGCTAGAGGAGGCGCGAGCGGCACATGCCACAGTGTGGAGACGGATTCGTGCCCAGCCAGCGCGGCCTGAAGTGAGATGGATCCCCGCGCATCAGGACATGGATGCGTACTTGGACCGAGGCCTCCACCCGCTGCTGTACTCTGGCAACATGTGGGCCGACTGGTTCGCTCGGCAAGGAGCCATGCAGCACACCGTGTCGAAGGTGTACGAGGAGTTCTACAACATCGAGCTGCAACACTACAAGAGCCTGGCAAAGTACGTCGGCTGGGCGATGCAGAGGACGATGCACGCAGGCCGCTGGGATGCGCCCGAGCAGACAGCCCGCCCGCCAAAGGTGCCCAAGGTGCAGGCGGCGACTGTGATCAGCCACTCCCTGGTTCGCCTGAACGGGACGGCGGTGGTGCTGTGCCGCGCTTGCTGCAGGCAGACCAGCCGGCAGACGGGGCCCACATGGACGCAGTTCGCGCGTTCAGCTTGCGAGGCCAGCCAGTGCACCGCGCTGCGGGCCGAGGCCATCATCGCGCACGTCGGCGCGCAGCCCATTGTGGTCTCGGAGGCGGGCGAGTTCGCTATGCAGGCGATCGAGCGAGCGGCGTGCCCCGAAGATGCGGGGCCCAGGCCAGCCGAGCCTGCCCCCTGGGGCTCAGGGGACGGCACCATCGAGATGCAGGGGCACAGGCTGAGGCGCGCAGGGCCCACCATCTACTGCGAGGTATGCGTGGCGTGGGCGGCGACAGGCTCCTCACTGGCCCTGGCTGCGCCCTGCGCTGGCCCGCCCAGCGCCGAGGGCAAGAACCAGCGCACCTACCTGTCCAACCTCAGGGCGCGGCTCAAGAAGCTCAGCCAAGGGCTGCACCCCAAGACAGGAAAGGTGCTCACTTGGGGAGGTGCAGGCGAGGCTCCAGACGGCCCCAGAACATGGGCCACAGCGGCGGCCAGCGCGGCCGCGGGCGACATGGCCTCTGGGGGCGACGGCGCTGCAGAGCGGCCAAGCGGCAGGCACGCGCAGAAGGAACAGGGCGAGGCGACCAGGCCTGGCCAGGACCACGAGACGCGCGAGGTGCCTGCAGGGGCTGGAGGGTCCGACGCAGTCCAGACCAAGAAGCCTGCTTGGCGGGTGCGACGGCAGGAGCTCCTGGAACGGATGCAGCAAAGGCAGCAGCATCTGCTAGCCGAACGTGGTCCAGCAGCCGCCAGCGGCGCGCAGCGTGATGAGGGAGACATGGCCGACGGCAGCTTGCCCTCGGCCTATGGAGCGCACCAATGCCCCGACGGGGGCACCACTGGACTGGTGACGCTCCAGCCGCCGCCAGCTGCCCCAGACGTGGGGGTGGTCGATGCCTGTCTGGCGGCGGGGCCGTCGCGGCTGCCTGCGCCCTTGAGGTGTGACCTGGCACACGAGGGGACGCTGACCACGGACCACCAGGAGGGCGCCGTGACCAGCCCTCAGGACATGAGCAGCCCGCCGCAGCCGTTCTCGACTACCGATATGGCCAGCACCAGGGGTGGCAGGGGACCTGCAAGTGCCGACCGTGTGTGCGGCCCCGCCCTGAGTGCTGGCAGGTCTGACAACTCGCAGCGGGCGCTGCCAGGCATGGCCAGTGACAAGGGTGGCAGGAGGCCTGCAAGCCGCGACCCTGAGTGCGGCCCCACCTTGGGCACTGGCGGCGACGGCAGCCAGGCCCACCGCGTGCGGCGACGATCTACGGCCTGGGCCAGGGGTGGCAGGGGACCTGCAATGTGCGTGCGTGAGTGCGGCCCCGCCCTGAGCCCAGGATGCGACGAGGACCGCGACGGCAAGGGTATGGCCAGCGCCAGGGGTGGCAGGGGACCTGCAAAGTGCAGTCCTGTGTGCGGCCCCGCCCTGGGCACTGGCAGCGGGTCTCTGGAAGCGGCGTCGCCTGAGGAGGACCAGCGGCAGCCGCAGCTGGCTTCTGGGGAGGCGTGTCCACGTGCAGCTACGGCTGGTGCCAGGGGTGGCAGGGGACCTGCAGTCTGCGGTCCTGAGCGCGGCCCCGCCCTGAGCACCAGCACCCACCCCGAGCGGCGACGGATTACGGCCTGGGCCAGGGGTGGCAGGGGACCTGCAATGTGCGTGCGTGAGTGCGGCCCCGCCCTGAGCCCAGGAAGCGACGCGGACCGCGACGGCATGTGTATGGCCAGTACCAGGGGTGGCAGGGGACCTGCAAGTGCCGACCGTGTGTGCGGCCCCGCCCTGAGTGCTGGCAGAGTTGCGGTGGCTCGGCCTGAGCCAGCGCAGCCGAGGCACAGCGTCGCGCCCAGGCTGGAGCTGCAGGTCGCTGGATGGGCGCGGTACTGGACCCAGGCTCCCGAGGTCGGCGAGACGATGGAGTGCCACAGCGAGTGGCTCGACCACTGCGTCGGCTACGTCACGCAGATCCTGTCCCAGCCGCGCTTCGCCACCAGGCTGCGGGCGCGTGGGAGGACGGCTGAGGAGATGGCCGAGGAGATCTGCGAGCGGGCCTGGGGGACTGGCATGCCCGCGAGGCGGGCCTACTACAGGTGGCGCCACACGCTGACGCGGTCGCAGAGGATCGTGTCGGACTGCATGCGGCGCTACGACTACGTGTGCCTGCGGACGTGGCTGGCCGAGCTGCGGCGGGAAGGGCAGCCACCGCCCATTGGCCCGCTCAGAGCGCCTTCGGTGCCGTGGAATGCGGGACGCAGGAGGCGACGGAGAAGTGGTTGAGGGTCGGCCTCTCCTGGCACGGGCAGCCGCTGCGTGGCGTTCTGGCCCCAGCGGCTCGCCGCACGGCGCTGCGCGGCGGTCTGGCCCCAGCGCGCCGCCCTTCGCGTCCGTCGACGTGATCGGCATCACTGGCCTCCCCTGAGGCTGCGGCCCCCTGGCCGCCTGTGCTGCGTCTAGTTGGCCTGGCCGACGCGACGTCCTGCCGCTGCTCTCCGCTGCTCTCCTCCCCCTCCTCCTCGATCATCCTCCTTGTTTCCCCTTTTCGATCTTTCTCGATCCCCTTCCACCCGTCCCGCCCCCATTCTCGCCGCAGGCTCCCTTCCGTGCCCCCGTTCCCGCTCATCCTTCTGCTCCCCCCCACACCCCCCCCCTCCTCCTCCTCCTCCTCCTCCTCCTCCTCCTCCTCTTCCTTCTCCCTGCACTCGGCGGCGAGCCTGGGGGGAAAGTGAGAAGGGGCGGGCCTTCTCAGAAGGCTCGGAAGTCCCCCGACCTTTTGCTGAGAAGTTCTCTAAGGCTTCCCCGAAGAGACAGTAAACCTCTCATAATGCCGGAGGCCTTGTGAGAAGCCCCGACGCCTTCTGAGAAGGCCTTCTCCTTCTCATTTCCCCTCCTCGCTCGCCGCTGCTCTAGCTACTTTGGCCCCGTTCCTCCTCCCCGTCCTCTCCAGTGTCGACGTCTGCTGCTGTCCCGACCGAGGTGCAGGTAACCACGACCTACTCGACTTTTGCCCTGTGCGCGGCCTGCTCGGAGGCGGGGGGGGAAGGGGGGGCAGGGTACAACAGGGTGCGGGACAGGAGGAGTAGGAGGAGGGAGGGGGAGGAGGAGGAGGAGGAGGAGGAGGAGGAGGAGGAGGAGGAGGAGGAGGGAAGAAGGAGAGAGGAGGAAGGAGGAGGAGAGAAGGAGGAGAGGAGGAGGGGAGGAGGAGGAAAGGAGGAGGAGGAGGAGGAGGAGGAGGAGGAGGAGGAGGAGGAGAGAGGAGAGGAGAAGGAGCAGGGGGAGGAGGAGGAAAAGGGGAGGAGGAGGAGGAGGAGGAGGAAGAGGAGGAGGGGACGAAAAGGAGGTGGGGAGAGGAGGAGGAGGGTGGAGGAAGGAGGAGGAGGAGGAGAAGGAGGAGGAGGAGGAAAGAGGAGGAGGAGGAGGGAGGAGGAGGAGGGGGAGGAGGGGGGAGGAGGGAGGAGGAGGAGGAGGAGGAGGAGGAGGAGGAGGAGGAGGAGGAGGAGGAGGAGGAGGAGGAGGAGGAAGAGGAGGAGGAGCAAGAGGAGGAGGAGGAGCAGGAGGAGCAGGAGGAGGAGGAGGAGGAGCAGGAGGATGGGCAACATTCGCGATTGATTTGGGTGCATCCTCCCAATTCTTCCCTCCCAGTTCTTTTTCCTTAGGGGAGAAACGAATGAGGAGGGGTGGTAATGCCGATGAGAAGGAAATGGATCAGGACAGGGGGCTGTGTGCGGACCCCGCATGGCCCCGCATGCCACTAACGAATGGTACCGGGATGATCTAGATCCCGTGAAGGCAGCAATCGCACACTACACGCATGGGTATACGATAGTTTTTCTGTGTGCTTTTTGTTTGGGAAAATACATGAGCACACAAACAATCCAGGCGTTTCTGGTTCTTCCCGAGTGGTGTTCCCGCTGCAGCGCGCCGCCCTCACTTACCCGCTTCGGTCATTCAAACTCGTGCTCCCTCTTCTGCGGTGCTGGCCTCGTTCCCGCGCCTCCGGACGGCACTTGGCACTCGAAAGCGCCCACATCGGGCAGGCACGGTTAGCCGCCATTCCGGACAGGCCTTGTCCTCTCGTAGACGGGCCATTTACCCTCCAAGTCATCCGCGCCATGCCACGGCATGCAATGCAGTGCTGTGTTGTGCACCGCTGTGCGATGCCATGTCTTGCATTGCTATGCTTTGGGATGCAATGCTTCACTAGCCACGCCACGCTATGACTCAAGCAGTGGCGAAGCGTCCTGGCTCGCTTACAGTCACACCAAGCAACTGTTCTGAGAACCTTTTGTGGTTTGCACGAAATGTTCTTTGAACTTTTCTGGCTGGGACTGCCTTGTTTTATCACATCGGGTTTATGCTCTCAGAACAATGTTGTTTTTCTCAGAACATTTTTGGGTTCTAAGAACATGTCGTGGTAGGACTACAGGAATGCCGGGGCGGTCGGTCCCTGCTCAAATGACCTGCTGTGCTCTGCCTTACTCTTCTACGCCATGCTTTTCCATCTATCGCGTACCCTCTTGGGATCATTGCCCTGCTCGATATCCGACGGTGCGACTAGGTGATCTATGCCATGGCTGCCATGGCAAGGGATGGTATTGGGAGGGGTAGGACGTCAAATGTGACTCTAGCGCATCTTCCTTGACCCTCCCCCCCCCCCCCCCGGGACCCCCCCCGGGGGGGAGGGATCAAAGGAAAGGGGCTCCTTTTCGAGACAATTGCGACGTTGCTCAAGATCGGTTTGGTTTCGCTTTGGCTGGCGCGCTTGAGGTTTCGGTTCGGTTTCGCTGTGGCTGGCGCGCTTGAGGAGGAGGAGGACTAAACGACTGGCGACGACGACAAAAAGGCGACGACAACGACGACGGCGACGACGACGACGGCGATGGCGACGGCGACGGCGACGGCGACGGCGACGGCGACGGCGACGGCGACGGCGACGGCGACGACGGCGACGGCGACGGCGACATCGGCGGCGGCGGCGACGGCGACGGCGACGGCGACGGCGACTCCGACGACAGCGTCTTCCACACGCCGGAGGATCGGCGGATGTTGTATTGCTTTTTGACAGGAAGGTGGGGGGGGGTGCCCGCGTGGGTGTCGCATGGGTCTGGGTTGGCTGCTGGTCGGTTGGGGGAGGGGGTGGGAACAAAGGTAAGACTCGGAAACCGGAGCATATACATTACCAGTGGCGAGCGGTTTTTCAATCCCAGGACTTTTAGGGTCGGGGAGGATGTCGGGGTGGTGTGCTGTATACGTTTCTCCCGTTTGCCAAGGGAAACAACGAAAAATGTATACACCAGGATCCCGTATACACCAGGATCCGCGTTCCTATGCGAATTTCAGCGTAGGGTCGGAAAAAGCGTCGGTCTATAGAGCTCGTTTTCCTAAAACCGCTGCCTCGAGCAGGGGAAGGAACGACTTTGGAAAAGGAAATGAACAAACTCGTTATACCACCTTCGCTCAGAGGGCTAAACTCATTCCGCTGGCCCGTACTGTGCCATCGCAGGCGTTTGCCTGCGCGTTCGTGCCCTCATGGGGCCGTTGGAGGGCCGTTTGGGGGCCTCTTGGGGCTTCTTTTTGTTGGCCTATTGGGTGTTTCGTGGGGCCTCCAGGGGGCCTCCTGGGCTCTCTTGGGGGCATCTGGGGGCCTCTTGGGGCGGAAGGCTCGAGTTGGCGGTTCGTGTTTCCCCTCTTGGGCCCCTCTTGGGGCTGTCTTGGGCCCTCTGGGGCGCCTCTTGGGCCGTCTTGGGGCCCTCTTGGTCCTTCTTGGGCCCATCTAGGGGGCGTGTTGGGCCGTCGTAGGACGATGTTGGAGGTATCTGGGGCAGCTCTGGACGCTGTGAATCAAGCAGTGGCGAAGCGTCCTGGCTCGCCTATAGGCCCACCAAAGAATGTTCTAAGAGCTTTTTGTGGTCTGCACGAAATCTTATTAAACCATTTCTGGCTGAGACTGACTTGTTTTAACACGTCGGGTTTATTTTCTAAGAACCTTGTTCTTGTTATTAGAACTTTTGGGGGTTATAAGGAAATGTCGTGGTAGGCCTATAGGTATGTTGGGACGGTGCGAAGCATGTACGTTTTCCGAAGGAAATGGTGCGCTTGTTGCTTGTTGGGGCCCTCTTGGAGCCCCTTCCCTCGATCCTCGGGGAGCAAGCAGTGACTCATGATGCTCCAACCTACTTTAGCCTTGATCACCAGAACGAATCTCGAGCGCCAGAGAAGTACCGAAACTCCAGTGTTTTCACGTGCTGGGCCCTGGGAGACACTCGTCCGACACTGTTTCGACACTCTTTCAACACTCTTTCAACACTTTTCTGGGTGCTCGAAACTAGTTATGGGATGTGGTCCTTGAGTGCGATGAGAACAACTTGAGCAGTGACATACACATGCAACCTCCTCCAGGATCCGCGTTGGACCCTCCTCCCCGGCGCGCGGAGCGCGCCAGGGGCGGCGGTAGAGGCGCCGCCAGGCGGGCCCCAGCGCGGATCCGAGGAGTCCGCGCGGACTTCCGAGGTTTTCTTTGCTTACGTAACTGTTTGTTCCCCTGCCTTCCCCTCCAGGAGCTATTTCGATTCTGTCGCTTCGGATCGATGCGGTTCCGAGGATTCCGATGTTGATCCGATATTCGACTCTGCTCCGCGACTTTGGTCTGCATGTTCTGGTTTATGTGGCTTGGGCCAGCGGATGCCGATTCCGATGCCTTCGATTTGCCTCCCCCCCCCTCCCTCTGGAGCGTCGGTCAGGGCCTCGAGGTTTTCTACGCTAATATTTTTAATTGACTGTTTGTTCCCCTGCCTTCCCCTCCAGGAGCTATTTCGATTCGATCGATTCGGTTCCGAGGATTACGAATTCGATTCGCTGTGCGACTCTGGACTCCGGCTTTGGCCTTCACGTCGTCGTTTCTGTCTTGGCTTGGGCCAGCGGACGTCGATCCCGATGCCTTCGATTTGCCCCTCCTCCCGCGCATTGGAGCGTCGGTCAGGCTCCCCCCCTTTCCTGCCCCTGATGGGCAAGCTACCCACCACCACGCCCATAACTTGTGCATGACGGGGGACAAGGGAGGATAAGGATGTCCTCCTCCTCCTCCTCCTCCTCCTCCTCCTCCTCCTCCTCCTCCCTTGCGGCCTTGCCCGGGACTTGGGCCTTGCCCCCTAAGCGCATTTCCTCTTTTTATTTCCTCGTCCCCCTCCTCTTCCTCCTCCTCCTTCTCCTCCTCCTCCTACACTTCCTCCTCCTCCTCCTCCTCCTCCTCCTCCTCCTCCTCCTCCTCCTCATCATCATCAGCAGCAGCATCATCATCATCATCATCATCATCATCATCATTATCATCCTCATCATCATCATCGTCGTCCGTCGTCGTCGTCGTCGTCGTCGTCGTCGTCATCATCACCATCCGCCTCAGGCACGCCATGCGTGGAAGTGGCCTGCCTTTGTCCGAACCCGATGGCCGTCTCCGATGTGCAGGGGAGGGCTTCTCCCCGCAGAGCGGCTGTGGGCCGTCCTCCCCCTCCCCCTCTTCCTCCCCCTCCTCCTCCTCCTCCTCCTCCTGCTCTCTCCTCCTCCTCCTCCTCCTCCTGCTCCTCCTCCTCATCCTCCTCCTCCTCCTCCTCCTCCTCCTCGAACGGCACCCGACTGCCGCCCGTGGACGAAGGCGAGGACGCTGCCCACACCCGCTGGGCTGAGGTTCATGGCAGCACGGCCAGGACCCCTGGCATCCATGCCTCACGCAGGGGCTTTCGAGTAGACTCGGGACTTGGGCCTTGCCCCCTAAGCGCCTTTCCCTTTTTTACCTCCTTGTCATCCTCCTCCTCCTCCTCCTCCTCCTCCTCCTCCCTTCCTCCTTCTTCCTCCTCCTCCGCTCCTCCTCCTCCTCCTCCTCCTCCTCCTCCTCCGCCTCCTCCTCCTCCTCCTCCTCCCTCTCCTACCTCTGGTGGTGGTCGTGGAAAGTGGGCCCCGTCCTGCCCCGCTGCGCCGCCCCGCGCCCCCCCCACGGCTGCCGCGCAGGCGGCGCGGCGCTGCATGATCTGCGGCGGCCCCGCGCCACTCTCAGGCGCCCCGGCCTCCCCCCCCCGAGTCCGCGGGCTGGGGGGGCTCCAGGAGCTCGTTGTTCCTCCCCATCAGTGCTTGCACTGAAGGGCTCCTCGCGGAAGTCGAAAGATTTGGCGAAAGTTCCCCGCCGGGTTCGGTATAGCAGGCCTGGGTTCCCGGGTTCCCGGTCCCGGGCTCCCGGGGTTCCCGGTTATTGGTTCCGGGCCGATTTCGGTGGGTTCTGGGTTCCCGGGCTCCCGGGTTCCCGGTCGATCTCCTCAGCGAAAACCATTCATTGATAGGGTTTTTTGCATAATCTTCTTTAGTTTCCAGCAAGTTTGCTGGCATGGACGGCCCAACCAACCCCGTAATTCTTTTTGGGGGTCTCTTCTCACGACGCGAGCATGTCTGGGGTCAGGGGAAGGTCGGGGGCAGAGCGGGTGGCGAGCCGCGCTCGGAGAGCCCCGTCGCCAGCGCTAGAGGTCGGCAGCGCACCCCGCAGTGGGCGGCGCTGCTCTTCGCGCTCTGCTCGGGCCCGCGCCCGCGGCTGGCCCAGGAGGGGGGGGACTTGAACCTGAAGTAAGCTGCAAACGAATTTGCACGTGCGGAAACCACGCAGGTCGATAGGCATTTGCATGCCAGTGTTCGTCTGAAGAGGGACGAAGAAGGGGAAAGGGGGGGGGTCGAACGTCGTGCAAGTAAGCTTGCCCGAATCCATAAGAAGACAGACTCCAGTGCAGTCTTGGGCGTTTCTCGGAGAAGAAAACGCGACATTAACATACACTTGCGGCGCTCCGCGCGGATTTCTTGGGTCCGCGCTGGGGCCTCCCCGACGGCGCCTCCGGCGCCGCCCCTGGCGCCCGGAGCGCGCCAGGGAGGGGGGGCCCAGCGCGGATCCAAGAAATCCGCGTGAAGCGCCAAAAGTTTCTGTTTACGGAGTTTTTTCTTCTAGCGTTGTGGCCAGGACTTTCGACAATACGGTCAGAGCGAGGTATAAGAGCGAGCTCGGTTCGGGGAGGGGCGCCCTGCTGTTTTTCGTGTCTGTGGGATGTTCTTGTGCACCCTGGGGGAGGGTACCCTCGAGTGCTCTTATGCTTTGTGGTGTGCTGGCTGGCGGAGGCTCTCATGATCTTGAAGGTCTTGGGTCCGGCCGTATGTCACCGCGCCGTGCGTTCTGGCGCGATGCCTTCCGTCTGAAGGCGCCGCGGGCACCAGGGCAAGCGCCGCCCCGGGCGCGTTGGGCTTGCCGTGGGGTTTGCCGCGGGGCCGTCCTCGTCTGCTTGGGCGCGGGACGCAGGGATTGCCGTGGGGGTCTGCCGTGATGTCGGCGTCGTCGAGCTGGGCGCGCCGATGGCGAAAGGCGCGGCGACATCCGATCTATATCCCCATCTAATAGGAGAGCACTGCAGCACACACATGTTCGGAGATCCGAGCGGTCAGCTTTGGATCTGCGCTGGGGACCTCTCGGCCGGTCCTGCCGGCCTCGTTGCTCACTCTTGCTCTGCCTCCGGGCCAGGGTTAGGATGCTCCAGCCTACTTTAGCCTTGACCACCAGAAAGCATTCCGAGCACAACAGAAAAATACCGAAATTGGAGGGTTTCCACGTGTCGGGCTCTGGGAAGCGATACTCGTTCGACACTGGTTCGATAATTACTTTTCTGGGTGCCCGAAATCCTTGGGAGTTGGTCCTTACGTACGATGGGAGCAACATGAGGCCAGGGGCCATTCCCTCCCAGTCCGGCACTGACAGGCAGGCTGCGCCCACCGGACCAAGCGTTTCCCTGAGACATCCGACCCAATGCCGGCGAGTACCACTGCACAGTTTCAAGCAGCGGCAAAGCGTCCAGGCTCGCCTGTAGGCCCACCAAACCATGTTGTAAGAACCTTTTGTGGTTCCCAGGAAATTCGGGGGCGGACAGACCCCCCAACAGTGACACGTCGATTAGTGAATTGTCCGTTTTCGGTTCTCGAGAGGGCGTTGCGGCCGTTATTTTCCAGGCTTGCGCCCGCCAGGTTTGGGCCTCAGGTCGTTTTCACTAAACCACGTTTTACTAAAGGGAGGTCTGTCCATCCCCGAGAAATGTTCTTAGAACATTTCTGGTGGAGTCTGTTTTGTTTTACCACATCGGGCCTCTGTTCTCAGAACATTATTTTTGTTCTTAGAACATTCTTGGGTTCTGAGAACATTTCGTGGTAGGACTATAGGAATGCCTGGACGGTCGGTTCCTGCTCAAAACACGTAGTCTTCGATCCCGCACCAGACCCAATGTCGACGAGTACCAATGCTCAGTTCGACAGCTTCCCATTTCGGCTGCAGTTGCAATTCATACGTCATCGTCCGCCTGGGCTCGTGGCTAGCAGCTTGCATCCAGCATCCAGACTTCCCACGCAGAGTCGACACGGCAGCTCTCGTTGCGATCAGGCGGCAGCACACCACAGGCGAAGATCTCAACCGCGCACGGCCGCGAGGAGTGCTGGCTTGGGGGGGGAACAAGTGCGTCGGGGCCCTCTGCGCGCCGGGGAGAGAGGTCCGAGAACTTGGCGCGGACCTCCGACAGTTTACGTTTCTGCAGGCTCGTCCTCTTCTAGGGGGCCAACTGCGAGCCCTACCCCTACCCCCCACGATTTCTAAGGGGGAGGGTGGGGTTCGCTTCGTTCGGGAGCTCCCGAGCGAAGTGAACCCCACCCTCCCCCTCAGAAATCGTGGGGGGTAGGGGTAGGGTTCGCAGTTGGCCCCCTATCTTCTCAAGCAGCTGAACAGCTTTGGGCGCTGTTGTGGTAGCAGCCAGTGCTGCCCGAGGGGCCCCCCCCCGCAGAGACACAACGAGCTGGTCCAGCACGTCTGAAGCATGCTCCCATTCTCTTTTCCAGGTTTGCCAGGATTGGGCGTTTCGCTCGGGTCATCCTCGAAACTCTGAGCTCCGAGATGCCGCGCAAGAGGTGGTCCAGCGCATTTCGCCTGAGACATCCTCGCAACTCTGGGCTCCAAGGTGCCGCGCGAGAGGTGGTCTGGCGCGTGTCGCCTGAGACGTCCTCGCAATTCGGGGCTCCGGTACGTCACGCGCGAGGTGGTCCTGCGCGTTTCGCTTGAGACGTCTTGGCAAATCTGGGTTCCGAGATGTCGTTTGCGAGGTGGTCCAGCGCGTTTCGCCTGAGACGTCCTTCCATCTCTGGCGCGTTCCGCCTACACGAGACATCCTCGCAACTCTAGTCTTTGAGATGCTGGGCGAGAGGTGGTCTGGCCCATTCCGCGTGAGACATCCTCGCGGTTCTTCGAAGAGGAAAGAACTCCATACACATAAACTGTTGGCGCTCTGCGCGGATTTCTTGGATGCGCGCCGCGCTGGCCCCCCCCCCGGCGGCGCCTCCGGCGCCGCCCCTGGCGCGCTCCGCGCGCCAGGCAAGGGGGGTCTAGCGCAGATCCAAGAAATCCGCGCGGAGCACCAAAAGTTAACGGTTATTGAGTTTGTTCGTCTTCTACTTCTGGGCTTTGAGGAGTGAGGTGTGCGCAAGGTCGTCTGGCCTGTTTCGCCTGCGAGTTCCTCGCAGCACGGGGCTGTTAGATGTGCTGCGCGCGATGCGTTCTGGCCAGTTCGCCTGAGGCATCCTCGAAGTTTGGGCTCCAAGAAGGAGGAGGGAGGAGGTGTCAGACCCAATCGAACCATTTGATTCGAAGAAGAAAGAACGCCATGAACATAAATTGTTGGGTTTGTTTTGTTTTTTGTTGTTTCTTCTTCTTCTTCTAATTACACTTCTGATGATTTCATCTTGGAGGGGTCTGGGCGCCGCCTGGGACATCCTCGCACATCGCCGATCCGAGAAATTCTCGCGAACCTCCAAACGTTTAGTGTGCATGTGCAGATGTGTTTTAGAATCGGGGGGGTACTGCATTCATCAGATTGGCACAGGGGCGCCCAGGGACGCCCTGCCAGCGGGAGCGAGTCCGAGACTTCTGAAGCTAGCCCAGCCTTTTTTTTTGGTTTGCACCTGCAGAGCACCGCTTTGATATTTGGCTGGCGCCACACCTTTCAAATTTTTGGACTTCGGGATCCTGTCGCCAATGCATTCTGCCACCGGGAGGTGGAGCCGGCACAGGAGGCACACGATTTTGAGTGGATTGGCAAAGGGTTGCTTTGCTCATGGAGGCAGAGCTGGCATAGAGTTTCGGAAGTGCAGTAAAGGCCCGATTGGCCAAGCGGCTCTCTGCTGATGGGAGCCTTGGAAGTCCAAGAATTGTGAGCTTACGGTTTCGAGACAATCGGCAGAGCGGCTTTTTTTTGTTGCAAGTCCAGGACGTTTGGAATTCGGATGTTGGGCGTCTTTGCATATCAATATATCAATATATCAATATATACTTTGAAGTTGTGCGAGCCCGTGTCCTCGGCTCTGAGCCGGGCGGCGGCGACGTCCCTCGAGCGGCGCGCGGATGCGGTCCGGTGCGACGCTGGGATGTCCCTCGTGGACTCTGGGCTGTCTTGGCCAGACCGTGGACGCTGGGATGTCCCTCGTGGACTCCTGGCTGTTCTCGCCTCCCTCTTCCTTTCCTCCTCTCCTTCTTGTGAGCCCTGGCAAGGTGGACATCGCGGGGCTACACGTCCCCTGTGGTGGCCCTGGGCATTGCGGGTAGTTTTCGCCTGTTTCCTTGGGACCGAACCCCGAGGTTGCCTTGGGGGCGCATCCCGATATGCAGGTTACGTCGTGCCAAGTTCGGCATAGCTGTAGGACCCTGTGCGGGCTGGCTATCCATGTTTTTGATTGCCGCTCTCGTTTTTGTCGGTCTCTGGGGAACTCCCGGGGCTGAATTGGCGCAGCGAGTAGCGATCTTGATGGTGGAATGGCACTGTGACGTCCGATCCGATCTGGTATCAATATATATATATATATATACACCTAAGATGTACTCACATATATATATATATATATATATATATATATATATGCAATAATCGAGTGCTTAGCACCCATGACACTTGACGGGGCTCGAGGACATTCCACTTCGTTCCTCGGATGGCGGATAGTTGGGACAACGGTGCGAGCAATCTTGCGTTTAATGTTATGAACAATCGGTGAGGGTGTTCACCCACAAAGGTCCATCTAAGACCTAGCATGTGGGGTGCTACGCCGAAACATGGACCGGAACTGTCCTGATGGGCGACGAGGCGAGCAACGCTTTGTCTATCGCTCCAGGGGGCCGCAAAACTACAATACCGCTGACGCGTTATGGCGTACGAGGTATCATCTTCAGTCTTCGCGGTCGCCTGGCCCGAGCCATTTAGCAACCCTCCGTTCTGGGAGCGTGTTCGAGCCCGCCGTGGGGTGTGCGCTGGGGTGCCGCCCGCTAGCAGAAGCGGGGCCGCCCGATGACGCAAGACATGACCGAGAAGATCGGGCTGATCTCGGGGAATGGGGAGGCCCCCGCGGCGTCCGAGCCCAACGAGGGCGAGCACCCAGCACGCTCGTACGATTTTGCCAAGGCGATCGTCAGCAACATCCGGATGGTGCGGCAGGACTTCGAGCCGCAGCCTTTCCCCGACAATTTTTTCAAGAGGCCCGTGGTGGTCGCCTTCGTCGTGCTGTATGCGATCACGGGCGTCGGTGTCCCCCTCTACCTCTTGAGCGGCCACTACGAAGACCTGCGCGTCAGAGGGGATGCTCATTCGATCTTTGAGGTTGACTGGCACAAGCGTCGGGTCGCCACGGCATACCTTTGCATGATCCCAGTGACTCTGTTGACTCTGCCGGTGTTCTCGCCGTCGCTGGCGAGGGCGTCAGTTATGCCGTATCTGTTCATCATAGGTTTCGCTGTTAAGGAGGCCGTCGATGAGGTGGTCAAAGACGACTTCAAGCATTTCTTGATTCGCGCGCTCTGCAATCTTCTGGCCACATTGTGCGCCCTGTCGTATCTGCGTTTCATGGAATACCTGGATCACATTGTCCACGAGATAACGGTGTGCGAGCATTCTCTTCTTGAGGAGAAGCCTGTCAAGAAGATGCAGGGTATCCTCAACAGTGTTGGCCTTACCCGCACTGGCAACCCCACGAAGGACAAGTTCATGGCAGTGAGACGAAATCGTGGCATCGCAGACGTGGTCTACGAGAAAGTCTGGCACCCGCTCAGGATTGGCTCCAATGTGGTTGCGGCCGCGTCGTACATATCCTACACCCTTATCAGCCCGTATGCGGGTTCGGTGCTGGCATGCGGATTCTCTTACTATTTGTTGACAGCGGTGTTCATAGGCTACAGGTTCTGGGATCAGGTCACCATGCTTATAAAGATTCTTGGGCTTACGCCACACCGCCGACCCCTTGGGGAACTGGTGGTTGTTGCGTGTTGCTCCTGAGGGCCTCTTGTGCGCCTTTGGGGAGCTTCCTTGGAGCTCGTTTGGAGCTTCATGGGGGCCTCTTGAGGGCCTTTTTTGGGCCTCTTGGGCTGACATTCTCGGTATTCGCCGTGCGCGCATGGGAAAGCGGGCGAGAACCCAAGTATACAGACGGCGGGCATTTGTCAAAATACCCGAAGAATGATTCTCGACTGGCCTTCGGCACATCTCGCCACCCTGCCTGGGTTGCGGGTCTGAGGCCACTCGGAAGGCTGCTAAGGGGTCTCGTGGGAGGCGTCTCGGGGGCGTCTTGGAGGCAGTTTTTGAATCTCTCGGGAGGGTCCTGGGAACCTCTTGGGGGCTTTTTGCGGCCCTGTTGGAGCTCCCTGGGGGCCTGTTGGGGGCTTTTTTGGGCAACCCGGAGGCGTAGTGGGGTGGAAGACTCGGGAGCCTTGAGACGGGGACAGTGCAAACGGGGGTCAGCCAGAGCGCCAGATCTTGCAGGATCTTGCAGGGACAGGGTCGCATTGACCTGGGTTTGGGTACAGGATCCTGCATGATCTTGCAGGATCCTTCGCATTGACCCGGGTTTGGGTGCAGGATCTTGAAGCAGGATTCTGTTGCAAGGCCTGACTGACCTGGGTCTGGATTGACCCGGGTCAGAAGATCCCCGAACGACTCGAAATGTCCGTTCGGTTTCCCCCTCCGGGCCGCCTCGTGGAGCCGTCCTGGGGCCCTCTTGGGTCGTCTTTCTTGGGCCGTCTTGGGGCCCTCTTGGGTCGTCGTGGCGCCCTCTTGGGGGCCTCTTTGGCCCGTCTTGGGGCGATCTCAAAGGCCTCTTGGGTTTTCTGGGACGTTGTGAACGCCCAAGGGGCGAATGTGCTAAAAATGCATGTTTTCAAATTGGAATGGGAAGTTTTTTGCTTCTGGAGGCCCTCTTAGGACGCCTCCTGGGGGCTTCTTGGGGCGTCTTGTGGGCCTCTTAGGCCGTCTGGAGGCCAGCGTGGGCGCTTTGGATTGATCTTTCAGCGACTTGCGGCCCTCGCGGGCCGCCCCAAGGGCTCGTGAGGCCCTCTTGGCCCGTTTTGGGGCCCCCTGTCCCCCATGGCACGTTCGGGCGGTCCCTGGGGGACCCCACTGCCCCCCCCCCTCCAAATCGACCGGACCGGGGTCCCAGAGGGGGGGTTCGGGGAGGGGGAAACATCTCACACGCCGATGGACCCCGAGGGGTCGGCGGATTTGGACGCACAAGCCCTTCTTCGTCGGAGACTTGGTAACCATCAGACTGATGGGCCGCGGTGCAGATACTGGCATCGATGGCTTCATTGAGCACGTCACACTCAGCTATGTGCTGATCCGGACCTTCGATCATAAGCAGACGTACATACCACTCTGCGAACTGACAGAAGTTGTGATCCAGAATTGGTCCCGGCGGCCGACTAAGCCGCTGTTGATTAATTTCACGGCGAGCCCATCTTCCAACCCGGAAAAGGTCAACGAGCTCGTCAGTTTCGCCAAGCGCTGGATCGACGAGAGCCAGAATGTCCTCCAGAGTGGGTACAAGAAGTGTTGCTTGAGCGGTTTTTCCCATGGCTTCGAAATCAAAGTCATCTGTTCACCTGACATCGGCAAGAGAAAGACAGAGCTTCGGCAATCATTCATCTTGGCAGTCACAGCGGAGGCGGAGAAGCTCAATGTGACCCTTGCCTCCGAGGACGCAGCCTCCGTGTTCCTGCCGGACGAGATGATCTCAAACAAGTCGAAGTGATTTTCGGCTAGAAGCCGTTCCAAAGCCAGACTGAATCCGACGAGTGCAGAGCACAGAGCGGTTTCCAGGAGCGTTCGCAGTGCGCGGGCAGGCAGAAGTGGGAGGAGCTTCATGCGTACAGTCGGGCCGCTAAAAGAAGGAACGCCACACAAGGAACGCAGCCCCTTCTTGGCCCTGTAGGCGCCTCCGTGCCCGAGGAGGGCAAGAGGAACAGCACTGGGGGAACCTGCGGAACATCGAGCCCCTGCCGAGCCCAGACTGGTCCTTGCTTCAGCGTCTTGACTGTAGGGCACGCGGCGTCCCCTCAGAGCGGGCGTCGTTCTATGATGACGACATCCGCGGGGAGATGAGGGTGGTCCTTGTCTTGCTCACTACGTGGCCGGTCGGCCTCGGGCCCTCGCTCTCCCCCCCCCTCCCCGCCCCCGTTGAGTAGATTTTGAGTCGGGCCTGTCCCTCTACAGGGGGAAATGTTCAAAAAGAGTCAAAACATACTCTGGGAACTAGTTTTTTGAATATGTTGGGGCACCTTTTGAGCATTTTGTTTTTTTTCTCTTCCATTTTTCGTCCCAAATCCCCCTGTAGGGGGACAGGTCCGACCTCAGAGTAGATCTTGGCTGTTCGTGGCGCCCTTCCTCGAGCAGGTGGAGTCTCCTCCACAGGACGCACAACTGCAAGCAGTCGCATAATTAAGCAGAGATCCGGGACCAGACCCCCCCCCTTCCGCCCACTGTCGAAACGCCGAAAATGAAAGCGTTCATGAAACCAGTGGATGGTTTGATCGATAAGGAGGTCAACCGGGAACTTGGGAATCTCGAGCCCACCGAAATCGGCCTCGAACCAGTAACCAGGAACCCAGGAACCCGGAACCGGGAACCCGCGAATCCAGCCGGCCACCAACATCGGCGGGACATGTTCGCCAAATCTTTCAATTTCCGCTAGGACCCCTTCATCGGGGGCGGCAAAGACGGGGGTGATGACTAGGGGGGGAGGGAAATCATGGCGGGGGCCATGATATTTCCCCAGATCTCATGGCGCCTCTTCTGATTTCATTACGTCCCTGGCCCCCCCCGCTGGGCCGTGCACTTGCCGCTGGTCATGATTTGCACCCCCCCCCCTCTTGGTCACCCCCCTTTGGGCGTCCTCCTCCTCCTCCTCCTCCTCCTCCCCCTCCTCCTCCCCTCCTCCTCCTCCTCCTCCTCCTCCTCCTCCTCCTCCTCCTCCCTCCTCCTCCTCCTCCTCCTCCTCCTCCTCCTCCTCCTGACTTCAGTGCAGGCGCTGGCTGGGGGGAGCCGCTCGCCAGGGGAGCTCCGCCCCTGCCGGCGCGTGCAGCCCCCCAGGCTCCTAATTGCGAGACGCGCTCGAGGCGCTGGCTGCGCCCTGCCGGGCTCTCGGCCGGTGCCCGCCCCGGGGGCGCCCCGCGGGGGCGCCGCGCTCCCTGCGGGGCATGCCTTAAGTCGGATCCGCCCTACTTTGGCTTTTGTTCCAACTTAAAATGGCGTCGGAGATGCACCTAATTATAAGGAGCCGAACAGGTAGGGCGGAAATGGCTGCACCCAACATAAAGTAGGGCGGAAACCCACAGAAACAGCAACAGAAAAGCAGGGCGGACATTGGCATCAGCGGGGCTTGAAAAGTAAGGCGGAAATTCCAAGCCCCACTTACGAATTTCCCCAAAGTAGGGCGGATCCGGAGTCAGGGCCTCACACAGGGGGAAGATTCCAAGAGAGTCAAAAATAGCCTGGGGACGATTTTCTCAATATTTTTGGGGCAGCTTTTGGATAGGTTTGGAGTCTGCTTTTATATGTTTCGTCCAGACTCCCCCTGCAGGGGGACAGGCCCGACCTCAAGGCATGCCCAGGGGTGTCGCCCGGTGCCCTCCCGTGGGCGCCTCGTGGGCGCCCCGCGCCGGGAGGGGCATGCTTGAGTCGGGCATGCCCCTCCACAGGCAGAGTGCTCCAGAGGAGTACGCAAAACAGTCCGGTAACGAGGACGCGTGCTCTCGGCATTCTGAGAGGCACTGTTAGACTGTGCTTTATGTTTCTTTCCCGAATCCGCAGGCAGAACGACACGCCCGACCCAAGGGCATGTGATCGGTTTTTCTTCATTGTTTTGCCGATCGGCGCCGTCCCTTGCACCCCTCCCTCTCCCTTCCCCCTGGAGTAGATTTTTGCTGTTTGGGGCGCCCGTTTCGAGCGGGTGGAGCCTCCCCCCATAGGACGCGCTGCTGCAGACAGTCGCACTAAGCAGAGGTCCGGAGCGACATCTTCCTCCTTCCCCCCCTTCCTACCAATCTTAGGTCGGGCATGTCCCCTTACAGGCGGATCTTGGACGAAAAAATACGAATCGTCAAACAGTATTCCAAAAATGTTCAAACATATTTATAGATAATCGCCCCCCGACCATCTTCTTACTCTTTTGGAATATTCCTCCTGTAGAGGGACACGCCCGACTTAATATTGTGGAAGTCGATGAATGGAGAGGAAGCATGCTGCCAAATCATTCCCAGATGTCTAACACATGTTTCAAACATGTTCTAAACATGTAAAACATGCTTCATACATGTTTAGAACACGCTTTACGAAGTTCAGGCACATGCTTCATCCAATGACAGGACGGTTAGGGTGTCCATTGTCGTGGCATCCACAAACTTAGTCCCAATGTCGAGACGCCGCATGACAAAAAACAATTATCCCGGTAAAGCAACCTAACAGCGATATGTAGAAGCATATCTGAAAGCATTCCCCTTAAGATTCAGATGAAAATCCAGTTGTAGAATTCTGCTGTTCTCGCAGTCGTAGTCGCATTCGCGATGACAGTCGCAGCGGCAACGGCAGTCGCAGTCACAGCCTCAGCCTCAGCCTGCCTCAGCCTCAGCCTCAGCCTGCCTCAGCCTCAGCCTGCCTCAGCCTCAGCCTCAGCTGCTTCAGCCTCAGCCTCAGTCTGCCTTCAGCCTCGGCCTCAGCCTCAGCCTGCCTCAGCCTCAGCCTGCATCAGCCTCAGCCTCAGCCTCAGCCTGCCTCAGCATCAGCCTCAGCCTGCTCAGCCTCAGCCTGCCTCAGCCTCAGCCTCAGTCTGCTTCAGCCTCAGCCTCAGTCTGCCTTCAGCCTCGGCCTCAGCCTCAGCCTGCCTCAGCCTCAGCCTGCCTCGGCCGCAGCATCAGCCTGCCTCAGCATTCAAAATGTGGCCCAGGAATGGAGTTCTGGGAACTAGAAGAACACGAAGTGGCCTACAGTTGGCTCCGGGCATTCAAAATCATGCCCAGGAATGGAGTTCTGGGAACTTGAAGAGCACGAAGTGGCCTACAGTTGGCTCCGGGCATCCAAAATGTGGCCCAGGGAATGGAGTTCTGGGAAATCGAAGAGTACGAAGTGGCCTACAGTTGGCTCCGGGCATCCAAAATGTGGCCCGGGAATGGAGTTCTAGCAGCGCCAAGAGCGATTTTGCGAGGATGTCCCAAGCGATTTGGGCTTCGGCGGCAGCCGCCCCGGGTCCCGCCCCGACCCCCCTGTGGAGTCATCTGCTGCTCTCTTTTGAGTCCACTAGAAACCTATCAGCAAAAGCTGTTAGGTAAAAAAAACGCCCACTGTGCCGAGGCTTCGCCCGAGTGCCCCGCCGTCGGCGCCTCGCCGGGGCGGGGCCGGGGCCTCGGTTGGGGCGCACCGTGCGGGCGCCCCTGCGGGCGCTCCGAGGGCGCCGCGCGGGCGCCTCGCCAGAAAGGCTGCGGGGATCACGTGGCGCCGCTCGGACGTGCGCAGTGTTTCTCGGCGAGGTCCATCGAGGACCATCCTGGGCCAGCGAGCCCCCCATCCCCCCCCCCAACAAAAACACGCACGAGACCGAAACAGGGCACGGGAGATGGACGTCCGAGCGGCGGCAAGAGAATGGGGGGCTTTCGGAGTTGTGCTCGCTCACTCGTGTGTCCCTGGGCCCCTCTTTATTTCGGAGAAGGGAAGAAAAATAACGGCATGAACATTAACTGTTGGCGCTCCGCGCGGATTCTTTGGATCGGCGATCGGGCCCCTGCGGCGGCGCCTCCGGCGCCGCCCTTGGCGCGCTCCACGCACCATGGAGGGGGGTCCAGCGCAGATGCGCCAGGTAGCTCACACAGCACGTCTCGCTTCGCATGCAAGGGGTGAGCCACGCAGGTTACACACCGCGCAGATGGCACACCACAGCTGAGACCACACTGCTTGCACCATCTGGCCTTCGCCATATAGCTCACTCCACATAGCCTGCACCACCACAGCTTGCAGCACGCAGCCTGCAGCACGCATACTGCACCGGGCAGATCGATTGCACTGGATATGTTGCACCACGCAGCCTGCACCACACATCTTGCGTCACATAGTTTACTCCCCATGGTTGCACCACATAGTTCACACATCCGCAATGCACCAACTTAGTGTTTGGGGTCACGCTGGATAAAAAGTAATCTCAACTGGCACCGTTGCCGTGCGATTGGCCTGGCTGCACAGGCTCCGCTGCAGTCAATTCGGGCTTGGCCCTCTACGAACTGTCCTGGAGTGCCTGCTGCGCGCAGCATTTCAATCGCAGGACTCCCTGCGCGCGATGTCAGCTTCGTCGCAGGACCTCCTTTCTCGTGACGTTTGCTCACCTCGTCCTCATCCTCGGGCTCGTCCTCGCCCTCCAAATCGCGACGCGCAGCTTTCTCCTCCAGCTTTTGCTGAACCGGCGCAGGGCGGCAGCCAGAGCAGGCTTAAACAGGGGAGGGGGCACTTCATTCAATTGAACTGGGCTTTTTCAGAGCCAGTACACATTCGCGAGCTCCGTTTAATTTTGACTGCGCAGGTGGACCCTTGCGCAACTTGCACCATCTATATCACATTGCTGCAACCCAGAGTCGCCATGCTTTCGGATCTAGCCAGGACTCCAAAACAGAGCCGGTTAGTGATATGATGGGCCTGTTTTCCACCACCACCGCCATAAGTTGCAGGGGGGAGGGAGGTGGAGGATAAGGAGGAGGACGAAAAGGAGGAGGAGGTTGAGGAGGAGGAGGAGGAGGAGGAGGAGGAGGAGGAGGACCCCCCCCCTCCTACTTATCGTGGTGGTGGTGGAAAACAGGCCCACCATGATAGGGCCCCGAACAAGCAGATTAGGTGCAGCACTCGCCTGTCAATTCGTAAGTAGACTGCGGCTGGTCGTGTCGCGAAGCGTGACGCATGATTCTGCCTCAGTATCCCACCGAAGTGTTACTTCTTTCTCTTGGCAGGCGCAATTGCTGATATGACTGCCGACTCATACCATTGTCAGCGAGCATTCTCGCGGAACAGCGTCTCTGAACGTTTTGTTTTCGCTCGCGGACCCCCGACGGGCTTCTACAGGAGGAACAGTCAAGAACAAAAACAATAGCGCGTTGACGGTTTTTCGTCCTCGTCTCACTATTATCGATTATTCTTCGACTATTGTTCACACTCTTCTTCCAAAGCCCGCCCGTGGGAGGACATGCCTGACCGAACCCTTGACTCCAGAGGGCGAAGAGAACCAAGACGTCACGATCATCATGTCTCGGAGGTCCGCACGACTTCCTGGGATCGGCGTTTCCCCCCCCCCCCGGCGCGCGCCTCACGCCGCGGAGAAATGCTGTCCGTGTTGTTGTTTCGTTGCCCCTCTGGAGGACAGAGCAGCGACCATCCGGTGAGGGGCCTGCTCTCCCCACCCCCGGGGCACCCGAGCGACTCCCTCGGCCGCCTGTGCGCTGCTCCTCGGGCTGCCTGCCGTGGCCTTCGCCCCGGCGAGGAGACGAAAACAGCAAAAGAGACGAGAGGCCCCTCGAGGGGGGGGGGGCGACCCCTCGAGGGCCCCTCGAGGGGGGGGAGGCCCTCGAGGGGGAGGGGGGGGGGGGCGATCCCTCGAGGGCCCCTCGAGGGACTTCCGCCACCGAGAGCCCCTCGAGGGGGGCGATGCCTGGGCGGTGGCACGCCCGCGCGCCACCCAGCACCCGGGGGATGGCGCGCAGGCGCGCCGCCGCCTATAGGGGCCGACGTCCCCGCCGGACGGGGGCTCTCCGTGGCGGCGGCCTCCTCTGCTCCTGGGAGCTCCCTCGGGCCCCGGCTGGTGCGGCGACGTTGTCTTTCTGTTAATTGCAAAATCTAAAATGCGGCCTCACTGATTTACTCAAGATTTAAATAAACCGCCGTCAATTTATCACGTATAAAAATCCAGAATTAGCTGTTCTGTAAAGTAAAAAATGTTTTTATTTTTCAAATCAAACTTTTGCTTGCATTTGGAGAAAATGGTATTTAAAATTAGCCACGCCGGGACAACATCGGATCGGGATAACTCGAAGTCTCTGAGAATTGGCGGGTTTGGAGGACGTATTGGGCGCCGCGGCCGCTCCAGAGCGTTCCGGAACGCTCTGAGAGCGCTCCGGAACGCTCTGGAGCGATTTATCCCGACCCTAGCCTTGTTTTAAGCGGGGGGGGGGAAGGGGAGAAGGAGAGGGCCCTCTCAGCAGGCCCCTCCTGTCGAGGGACAGGCCCGAAGCGAAGCTGGGGAGCTATAGGGCGGCTGGCCGCTCCCTCCCCCCGAGCTGGTGTGGCACCCTCCTTCCGGGGCGCGCCCCCCGAGGGTGCCCAGAACGGAGTGCCGCCGGCTCGGGGGTGATCGGGCGCAGCCAGGACGAGGAGGAGGCCGTTGCAGAGCGTTCCGGGACGCTGCCAGAGCCTTCTGGGACGCTCTGACGGGGCCGCGGCGCCCGAGACGTCCTCCAGAGCCGCCGCGATCTCAGAGATGATTTTGCAGGTTTCTCCTCCCCCGAGGTCGTTGTCGTCTTGGCTTCGTCTCAGGGGTGGCCTCTGGGAACGGGGCTCTACGGAGGAGTCCTGGTGGTGGCTCGAGCCTGT